GGTTTCTTATCCATTGTATTTCTTTACAAGTACAATTAATCCATTTATATTAAGTTTAATTATCAATCGGTATGAATTTGCAGCTGTCATTTTCCAATTTTTAAATTTGTTTTTGTGTTGATTGTTTTGGTCATTATATTTTTCTGTGCTTGGTTCTGTTTGTTTACAGATCTTCTTACTTCCTTGTTGCTGCTTTTGGCAGTTTTCTAATTTCCTGATCAATCTCTTCTTTAGTTATAGGTCTTCAGAACTTAATCATTTTGTTCTTTGTAGGTATCTTTTTGCTTTTCCCAAACTGCTTTCAGGATTCTTTTTTTGTAGTTAGTTTTGGAAGGTTTGATTATAATATGTCATAGTGATTTTCTTTTGGGGGTCTATACTGTTGCAGATTCATTGACCTTCTTGAAAGCATATCTTCCTGTTTTTCGTGATGTTGTTGTTGTTAGGTACCATCAAGTCGGTACCGACCCATAGCAACCTTATTCACAGTGTAATGGAACACTGGCCGATCTTAGGCCAACCTCACTATTGTTGTCATGCTTGAGCCCATTGATGGTGACACTTTGCCAGTCCATCTTCTTGGGAGTCTTCCTCTGACCCTCCACCCTACCAAACATGATATCCTTCTCCAGTGACTGGTCCCTCTTGACAGTATGTCCAAAGTATGAGAAAGGAAGCTTGGCCATCCTGGCCTCTAAGGAGCACCCTGGTTGCACTTCTTCCAACACAGATCTGTTTGTTCTTTTGGCAGCCCATGCACTTTCAATATTCTCCTCCAGCACCATAACTCAAAAGCATCAATTCTTCTGTGGTCTTCCTTATTCAGTGTCCAGCTTTCACATGCATATGGGCTTATAGAAAATACCATCGCTTAGGTCAGACACACCTTAGTCCTCAAGCTGACATCTTTGCTCTTCAACACTTTATATAAAGGTCTTGTGCAGCAGATTTGCCTAATGCAATACACTGTTTGATTTGCTGCTTCCATGAGTGTTGATCGTTGATCCAAGAAGAATGAAGTCCTTGACAACTTTAATCTTTTCTCGGTTGATATGAATTTTGTTTATTGGTCCAGTGGTGAGGATTTTTGTTTGCTTTACGTTGAGATGCAATCCATACAGAAGGCTGTGGTCTTTGATCTTCATCACTAAATATTTTAAGTCTTCTTCACTTCCAGCAAGAAAGGTTGTATCATCGCATATCGCAGGTTGCTAATGAGTCTTCCTCCAATCCTGATGCTATATTTTTCTTCATATAACCCAGCTTCTGGATTATTTGCTCAGCATACAGGTTGAGTAAGTATGGTGAAAGAATACAACCCTGTTGCACATTTTCTTAATTTTAAACCATTCAGTATTCCCATATTCTGTTTGAACAGCTGCCTCTTGGTCCAAGTACAGATTCCTCATGAGCACAATTAAGTGTTCAGGAGTATTCATGCTTCGCAATGTTATTCTTTGCTTTAAGCCAAGATCTATCGGACATCAGCAGTGATATCCCTCGTTCCACGGCCTCTTCTGAATCCGGCTTAAACCTATGGAAGTTCTCTGTCAATGTATGCTTGCAGCCGTTTCTATATTACCTTTAGTAAAACTTTACTCGCATGGGATATCAAAGACATTGTCTGATAGTTTTCGCATTCCATCGTGTCACCTCTCTTTGGAATGGCCCAAATACAAATCTCTTCCAATCAGTTGGCCAGATAGTTGTCCTCCAAATTTCTTGGCATAGATGGGTGAGTGCCTCCTGTGCTGCCTCACTTTCTTGAAGGATTTCAATTTTTAGTCCATCAGTTCCTGGTGCCTTGTTCTTTGCCAATTCCTTTAATGTGTCTTGGACTTTTCTCTTCAGTATCATTGGTTCTTGATCATATGCTACCTCTTGAAACTGTTGAACATCAACCATTGCCTTTTGGTACAGTGAATCTGTGTATTCTTTCCATCTTCTTTTGATGCTTTCTGCATCATGCAATAATTTGCCCAGGGAATCCTTCAATAATGAAAGTCAAGCCTTGTATTTTTTTCTTCAGCTTCCCCAGCTTGAGAAATGCTGAGTATGTTCTTCGTTTTTTGTTTTCTGACTCTAGATCTTTCCAAATTTTGTTGTAATATTTGGCTTTATCTTCTCAAGATGACTTTGAAATTTTCTGTTCAACTTTTGTACCTCCTTATTTCTTCCATTTACTTTAGTGTTACTACACTGGAGAACAAGTTTCAGGGTCTCTTCTGACATCCATTTTGACCTTTTCCTTCTTTCTTGTCTTCTTAATGACTTTTTGCTTTCTTCCTTTATGATGTTCTTGATGTCATCCCACAACTCTTCTGGTCTTCGGTCTTTATTGTTTAATGTATCAAATCTGTTCTTCAGATGATCTCTAAATTCAGGTGGGATATATCCAAGGTCATATTTTGGCTCTCATGAACTTGTTTTAATTTTCTTCAGCTTTAGTTGGATATTGTTGTTGTTGTGAAGTCCTGTCAAGTTGGTTCCGACCCATAGTGACCCTGTATAGGGCTTTCAAGGGGCAGCTGGTGAGTTTGAACCATCGACCCTGCAGTTAAAACAACTTTGCAGTCTGGCCCATTAACCCACAGCGCCACACCAGAACTCCAGTTTGGTATTAGGGAAGTTTAAATCCAACAAATTTTCAATAATTTCTTGGTGTCTTTTTTTCCCCCTGTCTTTCTATTCTGGGATTCCAGTTGCATGTAAGTTATTGGATGTGTTGCTCTGGTCCCTAGTTTTGTTGCGAGTTTGGCAGCAGTGAAGTGTTCACACCTGTCTTTTGGTGGATTTGGTAGCATATGAGAGTGTTGGCGCTAGTTTCTGGGTGGATGTTGCCAACCATGTGTCACTGATGAGAGTGGTGCTGGCGTAAGTGATAGGGCAACAGGTGTGGTGGGTATGGCTAAGTAGCATCACTGACTCCTAACAGAAAAATCAGGGCAGGAGTGGTAGCAGGGGGTTGTAGAAGGAGAGAAAGAAAGAAGAAAACAACAAAAAGGAATGAAGTGAGACCTAAGAAAAAGAACAGAAGAGAAAATGCAGTATAGAATTGATGGTACTTGCCAAACAACTGCAGCAGAAGTTCTGTGGGAATGTTCACTGCTGAATGTGGAGGATCACAAGTGGGTGCTGCTGAACACAGAAGTCTTGGGGGGGATGGGTGCACTAGCTCATCCAGATCAAGAAAAGGAGGGTGGGTATCGAAAGGGAAAAAAAAAAGGAAGAGCTAAGAAAGAGCTGAAAAACCCTAATAAAAACTGAAACAAATGTTAGCTGCCAAAAACAGCTGCAAAGGGATTGCAGATGTCACCACTACCTTCAGTGGAGTATTGGGGGGATGGGTACTGTTGACCATGTTGGGAGAGTGGATACCCAGTCTGTGGGATTAAAAAAATGGGGAGAGGGTGGGTAGAACTATGAGGAAGGAAATTTTTTAAAAGAATTGTTTTTCTTTCAAAGCCTTACAGTACTAGTGAAAGTGTTAGCTGCCATACATGGCTGGGAGGTAATTCTGGGATCCCTCTGCGAGAACTCAAACCTCTTGACTGGGACAAGACTTCCAATGCTAATCATGTGAGTGTTTGAGGGAGGGGTACCAGCTCAGCAGGATCCAAAAGACAGCAAGTGAAGAGGAAGAAAATGAGAGAGGGAAAAAAAAGAGGAGGGAGATAAAAAGGTTAAAGGAGAAAAAAAGCATCACAGCAGGAGCAGGACAGTTTGACCAGCTACTCCCAGGGTAGGGATGGCTGTCCATGCCTCTGGCTGCTGGGAAGTTGTTGTTCAAAGTAAAGGGGAGAGGTCACATCTCTGGTCAGCAATCACCAGTGATCAACAACAGCAACAAGTCTGATTGGAATGCTGCTTGTAATAATTCAAAATTGTCGTACTGTGCTGGTTTCAGTTTATTGCTTTTTGTTAACTGTTTTCGTTCATCTTTCTCTCATCAATATTTGATATACTCTACTGTAGAAACTCTGGGTTCCAGAATTATCATCCATATCTGTTTAATCTGGTTTCTTCTTAAAGTCTTTGTTGTATAGGGTCTGAATGTGTATTTACCTAGTCTGCCATCTTAGATCCTTTTCCACACAGTTGGAAACTTTTTATTATGAATTGAGTGAAAATTTACAGAGCAGATCATCAGTTTTTTACATTCAGCATATCATACATTTTGTTTCATCTCAGTGATTGCAACAGTCCATGTAACAAAAGCTATCCCATTTCCTCCCTGTGGTTCTTATTTCCATTCCACTTTCCTTCCCAACCCTTCTGAACTTTGTCCTTAGATAAATGGTACCCTTTGATCTTGAGTCGTTGACCATTGCATAGTGAGCATGCCTTACTTGTGTTGTCAGTCCTTTCTATCTACTGCTTGGCTGGAAGGAAGAGTGGTGGTTAGTGTGTATATATGTATGCATGTTGTTGTTATATGCCATCAAATTGATTCCGACTCATAGCGACCCTGTAACAGGGTTTCCAAGGAGCAGCTGGTAGGTTTGAATTGCCGACCTTGTGGTTCACAGCCCAGTGCTGACCAAACAAAAACCTTTGTTCTTTTCAGGCGTAAATTCTAGTGAATGGAGCTAGACAGTAAACAGGTAAACTATGTGGTGGGTCAGATTGAGAGCAGTGCTGATAAACTCTAACCCGTTTTATTTAACTCGGCATTTCTCAAATACATTGTAATATGGATTGTTCTATAGTCCACACTGTGGAAAACTTTGGTGTAATAGAATTTCATTTCCACATGTATTTGTTACCTCATAAGTTTTTATTAAGTAGAAATGGGAAGTATACTTGCCTGATAAAGTTTTTATGAAGAATATATGAAATACAATGTATGAGGAACCCCTATTGAAGTTCTTGTAGCTAGTTACTAGTTTATATTAGTTCATTTTTCTGATTGCAAGTATATTTATTTAGAAAAAGATACTATGTACATAGATAGGATCAACAGAGTCCTTATTAATCTCTATGTGTAATTTTATCAATAGGAAACTGTGGAGATATAAATTTAGTACGACTGGGGCCAGAAAAGTCTATTAATAGTGAAGTCCTAAAATTCAGTTTGGACAGCCAAGTTAACCACAGAATGAGTAAGTACTCAGTATGAATAAGGTACATACTAAGAATATTGCTAATTTTCTCTTTTTCTGGTAGACAATGACTTAGACATTAAAGGTAATTTGGGCACACTAAAGATAGGCTAGCTTTGAGAACTAGTTTTCCTTTTCATTGTGTGTGCATGTGTGTAGGTTTGTTAGATTTAGTGTATCACTTATTTTTACTTTTTTTTAGAAAAGGAGTTACCTTTGCATGTTCAGGAGATGCATAGAAGAAAGGAATTTCTAGATCGTCAACTAGACGAACTTTCCCGCAAACGTGCTCTGTGCCGAGGTGGAAGGGAAATACAGGTATATATATGTATATATATATATATCTTGATTAATGGTGTTTAAGTAATCACTTAATTACACAAACTTAAGTTTTGTGTGTGTGTGTGTGGATTAGGTGAAAGTTTACAGAGCACATGATCAGTTTCACATTCAGTAGTTCACACACACTGTGTTTGATCTCACTGATTGCAGTCCCCTCAGAATACTGTCAGTTATTCCACTTCTTCCATGTTTCCTATTTCCTTTCCCTAACCTTTCTAAACTTTATTTATAGGCAAATACTCTTTTTGGATCTCAGTTGGTCGATTATTCTAAGGTATGTATATTTCATTAGTGTTATTATTCCGCCTTATAGACCTGCCTATTATTTGGCCAAAAATTAAGCCATGAGGGTGGTTTTCATTTCAGATCTGGAGGATTATAGTCTCGGAAATTCCACCAGTGTCTATCTGAGAGCAATAAGCCAATTCTTCTTTATGATTTTGAGTTTGTTACACAAACTTGTTGGTGGCTTTCTTTTATTGGGAAATGGTATAATTCATTTACAAAAGTATATATTACCTATTTTTCAATTGTTAAATAAAGTAGTATGTCTTGTACCAGTGATTAGCAAGATAGTAAGTACTTCAGCCGTATGTTCTCTGTTGCAGCTACTCAGGTCTGCTAGTGTAGATGAAAGCACCCATAGGCATTATGTAAACAAATCCATGTTTCAGTAAAACTTTATTTGCAGAAACACAGTGGGTTGAATTGGCTGGGCCATAGGCTATAGTTTACTGATCCCTGCTTTATATTAAAGCTATGTGAGGTAAGCAAAAAGTTTTGCTTACAAAATCGTAGAAACCTTTTTGAACAAAAATATCAAAATGTAAAGCTATTGTTTCTTGATTTATCCTCCATTTAGGTCTATATACTTCTGAAGGTGGTATTACTGACTCTAACCCTTCTCGAAGAATACTGTGCTCTTTAATTTACACCATGTCAGAACAATAGTATTAGCATCGTTGAGGGATTCAGATGGTGTTCATATGAAGTCTTCTTTGAGTTTGTGGAATAAAAGAAGGCTGAAGGGACAAGCTCAGGGCTTTCCTTACCTTTTTCTCACCAATGCAGTTTTCCATTTTCTTCAGACTTCTTCCTAATGAGCCCCTGTGATAGTCCTTTGTCTTTTGAGAATACCATCAACATTGTTGTTATTGGTAAGTGCCAGTGGGTTTGAATTGGCAACCTTGCAGTTTGCAACCCAATGCTTAGCCTACAGCACACACCAGGACTCCCAAAGATAGGGTCCCAAAATACAGTTGCCATAACCTTCTGAGCTAGTCTCTCAGCGTTGAATTTAATTGGCCAAGTACGTCCCTTAGGCAGCTTCTGTTTTAATTGGACCAGACCTTTTTTATTTTCAAGACACTCTAATGTATTTTGGAGTCCTGGTGTGGCGCTGTAGGTTAATGCGCCAGACTGCAAAGCTGTTTGAACTGCAAGGTCAACGGTTCAAGCTTACCATCAGCTCCTCGGAAATCCTCTATAGGGTTGTTATGGGTCGGAACCGACTCGATGGCACTTAACAACAACAATGTGTTTTACTGAAGAGAACTTTGCTGCCACCATCCACTGATTGCAAAGATGTGTTAAAACACGTTTTGTTTGGAATAAACCTGTGTCTGTCTGAACTGGAACCCTAGTAGCAATACTGTTTGATTTAGCATCATACAGATTTATTGGTCCTTTAAGTTGAAAGTTAAATCCAGTTTACGTTAGTTTAAACTGAAGGGGCATTTGTTTGACTCATACAGCTTCAGCATGACTGGATCCAGAAGCTTAGGTGATAGCATTTCTCTGCCCCTTAAGTAGTTTTTCTCTATGTGTCTCCTGTTTCTTCTCCAGGAGATAAGTTCCAGCAGCTCTGGTAGCGTAGCGGTTACGAGTCGGTCTCCTCTCATCCAATGAAGAACTCTGATTATTCCAGGGCAAGCAAGCAGATCCAGTCTCTTTTCTTAAGGGACCAGGGAGCATGATTTACCTGGCCTGTATTATATACTCTTCACTGTGGCTAGAGGAAGGGTCAGGATCAACCTAATTTGAACCACTTAGAAATTAGTGGGGGAATGCTAAGTAAATAGAAATAGAATCCACTCAAACCACTGGACCTAACTCAGTTTAAAGATACAGAGAGGGTTTCAGGACTTAACTATAAAGAAAAAGCAGGCTATACTAGTAAGTTTTTCATTTGTTAAGAATATACTCACTGCTTTGAAATATAAGCAATTCATTAGAAAACATTTTTAAATGCTTATTTTAGGTTTAATTATGACATCATACTTTTTTCCAGAGACAAGAATTAGATGAAAAAATTGCCAAAGTTTCAAAAGAAAGGCAGGAACTTGCTTCTAAAATTAAAGAGGTAAGTAGTTCACTGGTATAATTTTCTTGGTATTTTATTTTTTAATTTAACTTTAAATTGGTATAGACAAACTTTTTTTAATTACATTTTTAAACTTTTGACAATGAAAAATTTAAAGCAAGTGGAAAAGTGATGCAATTACATTTGTATTTTTGTCTTTAACCTACAAATAAATTCTTACCAACATTAAGATTTAAAAGAAAGAAAGAAGTGGTTATAATTTTATCTTTTTCCTGTTTAAACATGGGTAAGTATTTTTAAAATCCTCTTATTAGATGCTCTGTTTCCCCTTCAGTTCTACAGCAAAGAATAATGTTTTTTCTCTGATAATTATGAACAAATAAAAATAGGTTTGTAGTCTCCTTATTTCAATACGAAAAAAAAAAGAAAATAATTTATTTATTTAAGTAACGTAACAGTGATGGGGCGACTTGTTAAAGGAAAACACAAACACTTTTTTTCCTAATTCTTAACCTTAAAGCATGAACTCTTAATCTGCTTGTTTCTGATTATAAGAATCCTTCTATAACTTATATAACATTTCCCCAGTGTTCTTTGAACATATAAAGAGGAAAAAATATTCAGACAGATACAAGGTAGGAAGAGCCAGATGTATGTTGATCACAAGAATGCTGCTGTAATTAAAATAAGCATGGATCAAGGAGAAAGGATGATATTGACTGGTCAAGTATATTGGATGCTTGAGCTGAGATTTTCTCTTGATTGTATTATTAGCTGTCTCTATGTGGTAAAACAAATATGTTGTTGTTAAGTGCCGTCGAGTAGGTTCCAACCCATAGCGACCCTGTATAGGGTTTCCAAGGAACAGCTGGTGAGCTTGAACTGCCGACCTTGCAATTCAAACTGCTTTGCATTCTGGCACATTAACTCACAGCACCACACCCGGATTCCAAAATAAATATAGTGGAATTTAATGTATATTTTCAATACCAGTTTATTTAGACTAAAAATTATATGGAAAGGTTTTTATTAAAACTTTAAGCCCAAAATGATTTTTTGCTAGCTTAAGGATGAAGTCGATGTTTCTGGGTTTTGTGAACATATAACATTTTGTGTACTAGTAACACGTGTTCTGTGAACCATTGACTTAACTGGGCTTGGCAGTTTTAACTCGCTAGATTGCTGTGAGGTGTATTTGACAGAATTTTAAGCATATGAGCACTAGAGGGCCCCAGTTGTCTCTTTCTTCCTGATGTTCACATGTATGCCTTAGAGTTCATAGTTGAGTATGTTCTATGTATAGGGAGGAATCACCAGTTTTCAATAATAGAAATAGGTAAATTGACTCTCTGATAATCTTAATTTATTCATTTGAACAGTAAATTGAATAAGGGGACTTCAAAAAAATCTATGGAAAATTCTGTTATCTTTTAATTCCATTTTCCGCACGCTTTTTAAAGCCCTCTCATATATACAACATGAGATTTCATTCACATTGTCTGGCTCTATCACAGTATATTGCACTATAAAAGTAGACCAGGATTGTTTTTCTTAATGTGGTAGTAGAAGGGTTCACAGATACTTTTGTTAGTACTGCTGCTGCTGTGTGCCATCAAGTTGGCTCTGACTCATAGCAACCCTGTATACGGTTTCTGAAGCTGTAAATCTTTACGGGAGCATGAAGTCTCATCTTTCTCCCATGGAGCGACTGGTGGATTTGAACTGCTGATCTTCTGGGTAGCAGCCCAATACATAACCCACTACACTATGAGGGCTAGCCTTTATATGAGAAAAGATAATATTATTTACTTTAAAAGTTGAGAGAGAAAAGTGTGCATTCAAACTTAGTTCTAACCTTGGCCTTGCTCAGATATTTTCTTTACAACCAGTAGGATTATTTGGTGATCTTTACTTACTCTATTACCTACCTGAATACATCTGACTGTAGAAGAATTGTAATCTGTTTTGATCAAATCAGTCCCTGAATAAATTTTTCTTAAAGCACTTAAACCACATTCAAAACTTAGACTGCAAAGGACAGTCTTTTCTAGATTTAAGACTTTTCCTTACTACTAAATATTATTCTATCACATAATAAATTCTGGCTGTTTTATAGTAAAAATAGACATGTCATAGTAAGGATATGTTGTTGTGTGCCCATTGAGTCAGTTCAACTTTTAGCAACCCTGTATAGGGTTTCCAAAAGCAGCTAGTGAGTTTAAACTGCTGACCTTGCATTTAGCTGTCTAGTGCTTATCCTATAGCACCACACCAGGATCCATTAAGAATATACAATTAAATATTGATTAGACTCTTGGTGTAGTGCTGTAGAATAAGAACTGAACAGTGAATCACAAGGTCAATGGTTCAAACCTACCAGTTACCCCTCAGCAAACCCTATACAGGTTTGCTATGAGTCAGAATCACTTGACAGCACTTAACAACAACAAATATCACTTAACCTTGTTTGTTCTTTTAGGTTCAAGGGCGCCCACAAAAAACACAGAGTATTATCATCTTAGAGTCCCACATCATCTGCTGCACATTGAGCACCAGTGGCGGTTTATTACTGGAGTCTGCTTTTCGTGGGCAAGGGGGTGTCGCCTTCAGTTGTGTCATTGTTGATGAGGTCAGTGAACAGTCAGCAATATAACTTTGATACTGTGAGGAGTAAGTCATAAATGAATTGTGGCTACTGAGATGTTGCTTGAAAAGTGGTCTTTGTTTTTCCCCATCTGAATTTTGCCTGTAATTGCGTATATATTTCCTTATGTTGAAATATACTACTTAATGTTAAACTATTTTCTAGCAGTATTAACGATTATAAGGATGTTTGATTGCTACCAACAAAATCCTTGCCAAGTGAGTATCTTCACCCTGTTTGGAACATCTCCAGTAATAAGCAATTTTACTACTTTTTGAAGCAGTTTTAATATGATTTTTGGCAGCTCTGAGAAACACAGTATTTTCAACTTAATCCTTTAATCCTGTTTCATTCATTGAGCAAATTATTAAGTACCGACTGTTTGCCAGAATGTAGAACCAGAAGACAAAGTAAATGGAAAATGTGTGTCAGATCAATCTTCGAGAAGCAGGTCCTTCTATCCATCAAAATGAAAGAACAGAAAAAGTGGAAGTGATGAAATAATTGAAGGAAATAATGAATTGAAGAGAAACTACAGTGTTGTGATTGGAGAAGCATACTGAGAGACAAGGAAAAATGATTTCTGAACTTCAGAGATAAATTTCTGTTTCTAGAGGGAAAATGTTCCACTAGGCTCTTGCCCAGAAGAACGCAAATCCAAAATGTATAAGGCCTAACTTGTGATTGGTGCCCAAAGTAATGGTTACAACTTAATAGTGACTGACTTTAAAATCCTTCTCACTCTCTCTGTTTTTTCATTGTACTGTGTAGAAAAAGACCAATGAAATGGATTGATGGACTATATGCAACAGTGGGCTCAAATTAACAATTATGAGGATGGCACAGGACTGGGCAGTGCTTACTTCTATTACATAATAGGATCACTATGAATAGAAACAGATGCAAGGGTACCTAACATCTGTGTAGAGGTGGTTTTGTTTTGTTGTTTGTTTTCTAACCAACAGAAATTCTTATTGCAGAAATATAGTACTTTTCTAAAGAGTTAGAATTTTTTTGAATTAGTTAAATTGTATGTGTATAAACTAATAGCAAAGAAAATTAAGAATATTTTGCCTTTCTATACTTTCTTACCAAGGCTGGCCAATCTTGTGAAGTTGAGACACTTACTCCGCTCATTCATCGTTGCAACAAGCTTGTCCTCGTAGGTGATCCAAAACAACTACCTCCCACAGTCATTTCTGTGGTAAGTCTCTTTCATATTCACATTGCCTTAAAGTGGAAAGGCTTTTTGTTTTCAAGGACAAGAGTGGTCTTTCTTGATTTTCAGCTTTTATTTGGAGGAAAAATAAAATGGATGAAGAAAGAGAAGCACTGCTTGAGTGTTAACTAGTGAAAAAAGTCTCTGAAAGTGTACCGTTATTCATGATAGTGCTTGTATCAATGTGTATGGTTTAAAGTGCTGAAAATCAGAAGATTGTCTGCATCTGACTTTTCCTTTGGAGAAGGTGATACCCAGATAGTCTAAAGAACTATATCTGGTTTATGTTAATAACACAAACACCAAAACAGTAATAAAAGAAAAAACTTTAAAAGCAAGAAAAAGAACCCCAGACTCCTGGTTTATATTTAAATGTGCACAAATTTAAGAAATTCCTTTCAGAGAACATTTGCAATTTTAGTATCCTGGTGTGACTGTAGAATAAGCGCTGTGTATTGCTAACCCAAGGTTGGCAGTTCAAACCCACCAGTCACTTCTTGGAAACTCTCTACAGGGTTGCTATGAGTTGGAATTGACTCAACAGCACTTAACAATAACATAGTACAAGAAAACATCTGTGTTCCTCAGATTCTCTTCAGTCCCATTATATATGATTCTTGGTGTGGCCCTATATATAGGGTCAGCACTGGACTGTGAACCACAGGTCAGTGGTTCAAACCCACGAGCTGCTCCTTGGAAACTGTATACAGGGTCACTATGAGTCAGAACTGACTCAATGGCACTGTTAACAACAACAACCACAATATATGGCATATAGGTTTGCACATCATACTCAAGATTCAGTAGATAATTTTGGGTCTTTTAAATATAAATCATGGTTTAAAATTTAATGAAATTTGAATTTATTATTGATACATTGATTATCTATATAGAGTAGTTGCATGAATAGTTACAGAGAATCTGTTATTTTAGAAGCATTATTTTTGGTCTTTATTATATATTGAGTTTGTAATTGCTCAGAATTGTCACATAGTTCATTTTCTGACTGCTGAGCACATGTATAGATTATATGTAGTCTATTCCTGCATTACAAAGTCCATTTGAACAATAAGTTCAGTGGTTCAAGTTCACTAACCCCTCCTCAGAAACTCTGTGCAGGGTTGCTGTGGGTTAGAACCGACTCGTCAATGGCACTTAACAACAGCAACAACAATAAGACTAAGGAGTCTTGGTGTGATGCTGTAGGATAAGCACTGGCCCCCAAGGTCAGTTTGAACTGCAAGATTGTTGGTTTAAACTTCTCCAGCGGCTCCTCAGAAATCCTATATGAGTCAGAAACAACTCGATGGCGTTTAACAACAACAAAATACTAAGACAAGTGTGTTACTGAGAGAATTTGTCTCCATTCATCCACTGATCTCAGAGACATGTTCAAGCATGTTTTATTTTGAATAAGCCCATCTATGTATGAACTGACTGATGTGATGTTGTAGAATAAACACTGGACTGCAAACCACAAGGTCCGTGGTTCAACCCCACCAGTTGCTCTTCAGAAACCCTACATAGGGTCATTATGAGTTGGAACCAACTCGACAACACTTAACAACTGCGTGTATGTGGAGCAACCCAAGTAGCAGTATTTTTTATTGACATGCACATATTGTTAAGAAATAATGTCCTTTTTCTACTCTCACAACTTTTAATAAAGGTTTATTCCAACTTTGCATATATTTCTTTGATGCCTTTGGCTTCAACATCACTCATTCAGCCCATCCTAGTGCAGTTTCTAGAGCACATTTTTAGTTCTAGATTATTTAAGATATAATACTTTTGGAAACTTTGTATGATGCTGTCACTGAAAATTATATCCCAAGATCCAGCTGTCAGAACAGTAAGACAACCTTTCTTCATTTGTCTTTTTTATTCAAGATTTTTCAGATTGCAGATTGCTACCTGTAATTGGGGCTGTGAAATCATTTTAGTTAAGTAGGTTATTTCTCTACACCTTTAGAGACTAAAACTTGATCTTATTACTCACCGTAACATGTTCAGCACCCCAGATTGTAGATAGATGGATGAATCAGTTATTCTGTAAAGGACTTATTTCTGATGACATTCAGCATTTCTACTGTAAGTGCCTGCTCTGTAAATTATTGTTAAAAGCACTTCTTTGCTTCCTTTATTGTTGATTCTTACTGATGACCTATTAGCAACAAAATAGCATCATTTGTAGTCATTCAAGATAACATCTCTTTTTTATAAGCAGTATTATGGATGTTATAAAAAAAAGAGAAGATAACCTCAATTTAGGAGTCCTGGTGTGGCACTGTGGGATAAAGCAATGGACCACGTCACTTAACAACTACAACAATAATATGCATATGGAAAGGTTCAGTGGACTTAAAGATTACTAATAACCAAAAATTCAGAGAATGTAGATATTTCTGACCTCAATCCTACAAAAGGCATGCATTTTGAATATTGAAGTAGTTGTTAAGCGGCTAGTGAGCTTGAACCATAGACTTGGTAGTCCAAACCAACTTTGTAGTCCAGCACATTAACCAACAGTGCCACACCAGGACTCCATATATGTAATATACATGTTGTTGTTATTGTTAAGTGCCATCAAGTCAATTCCAACCCATAGCAACCCTATATGGGGTTTCCAAGGAGTGGCTGGTAAGCTTGAACTGCTGTCCTTGTGGTTCAAATCAACTTTGCAGTCCAGCGCATTAACCCACAGCACCACACCAGGACTGCAATATACGTAGTTGTTGTTGTTATGTGCCGTGGAATCGATTCCAACTCATAGTGACCCTGTACATGGTTTCCGAGGCTGTAAATCTTTTTGGGAGCAGAAAGCCTTATCTTTCTTCTGCGAAACAGTTGGTAGTTTCGAACTGCTGACCTTGCGGTTCGCAGCCCGATTCATAACCACTGCGCTACCAGAGCTCCTTAATATATGTGGTGTTGTTGTTGTTGTTGTTAAGTGCCATCGAGTCGGGTCCGACCCATAGCGACCCTGTACAGGGTTTCTGAGGGTGTAAATCTTTACGGAAGTAGAAAGCCTCATCTTTCTCCCGCGGAGCGACTGGTAGTTTCGAACCGCTGACCTTAAGGTTCGCAGCCCGATTCGTAACCACTACGCTACCAGAGCTCCTTAATATATGTGGTACAGCTTAGTTAATTGTTATTATAATGAAAGCATGTATGCAAATGGAAACTTATACTTTGTTTTCCTTTCTTAGAAGGCACAGGACTATGGCTATGACCAGTCAATGATGGCTCGCTTTTGCAAGTTGTTGGAAGAGAATGTAGAGCACAATGTGATCAGCAGGCTGCCTGTTTTACAGCTCACTGTTCAATACAGGATGCATCCAGACATATGTCTTTTCCCTTCTAATTATGTATATAACAAAAACTTGAAAACAAACAGGTGGGTTCTATTTATTGTATTTGTATTGTATTTATTAATTTTATTTGTAGATTTAGCCACTTAAGAAGAATCACCACTTTACAATGTTTTTAAGTCTGTCATGAGAAGTATAAATCATGAAGATATTTAAAATTATTTTCTCTATTTATTAAAACAGATATATTTATCATAGCAAATGCAGACACACAAAACCAAACCAAAAATCATTACCATTTATTCTACCCAGAGAAAATCACTGATAACATTTTGGTATATAGTCATCCCTCAGTATTCATGAGGAATTGGTTCCAGGAATCCTCTCAAATACCAAAATCTGCAGATGCTCAAGTCTTTTATATGAAACAGCATGCAGCCTACACACATCCTCCCATCTCTGTTTTTGCTAAGTGTCATCAAGTCAGTTTCAGCTCCAAGAGACCTATGCACAACAGAATGAAACACTGCCATCTTCACAATTATTACCACATTTGAGCCTATTGGTGTAGCTGCTGGGTCAATCCATCTAGTTATGGGTCTTTTTTTTTCCGACCCTCTACTAGATTGCTTATAATGCCTATTGTTGTTAAGTGCTATTGAGTCACTTTCTACTCATAGTGAACCTATATAAGATCTCTGAAAAGTGACAAATGGATTTGAACTATCGATTTTGCAGTTTGTAAAATGCATTTTAAATGCTATATAAATAGTACTTTATGCCCCCTCTTAGTCTTTGAGGCATTACTTTGACCACTTAATTTGCCTTTCCTTTAATATTTTCAAATTGATTTTGGTTGACTCCTCAGATGTAGAACCTGTGGATACAGAGGGATGATTGTCTCCTTTTAGTTCTTTTTTAAAAAGTATATCCTCTTTTACTTTTTCTCTTTACATTTTTGAGAGAAAAAAAATAATAAAAATTGAGCCATACTTCTTTAATGTTCTCTAGCTTCCTTTTTTACTTATTCTATCACTCACTGAGAAGTCCTGATGGAGCAGTGGTTAAATGCTGGTGAAGTGGTGGTTAAGTATTGCTAACAGAAAAGTTGGGGTTGAATCCACCAGGGGCTCTGCCACATAAAGACTGCAGCCTTGGAAGCTCTATGGAGCAGTTTCACTTTGACCTGTAGCATTGTTATGAGTTGGAATTGACTCAGTGATAACGAGTCGTATCAGTTAGAGTCTTACATGTTTTATTTAAATTACTAGATAACTGTCCCAGAACTAAAATAAAAGTGAATTTACCTTTCATTAATACATATCTGTAAAAGAAACTTTTCTAATTGACCTCTTCCTTCTTTAACCCTCTATCCCACAAAAATGGCAATTACAGTAAAATATAACTTTGGTAGCGTAGTGGTTACGAATCGGGCTGCGAACCTTAAGGTCAGTGGTTCGAAACTACCAGCTGCTCCGCGGGAGAAAGATGAGGCTTTCTACTC